AAAGGCAGCTAGTCATCACCACCCACCGCCAACTCTTGGGCTACTCTTTTACCAACGAATAGTGGGATTGACCGTCACATTATAACGCCCCCACGGCTGAAAGGGCGAGCATGTTTTGATGGGAGGTGTTTTGCTAAGTTGAATTGAGAAAGAATAATATAGCTTTATTTAAGAAAAGACTTGTATCGCTGAAGTTTCATCGGAAATAAATTATACGGAAAATTAACAACCGAACACAGAGATGTAACAATATTTTTTAAAAGTTGTCAGTTTCAGAGTGAAGTAACAAAATAAGTGAAGAAATTTAAATGAAAATTAACTTAACTTTGACAAAGTTATAGACCTACATGACCATACTCTGTACCTTATAATATAGTATCGCTATTACTATTAGTATAGGCCCTTTAATTAATTTAGTATCGCTACGACGATAATATTAGCACTACTACCGTGGTACAAGTAACTGAGTTGCAACTAAAAGTTCTGGCGGCTGTAGATACTGGCCACTTGGTACAACTAGTACTAGTATTATCCTGTGGTAGTTTTCCAAAATATATGTATTTTTCAGATTGGCGAAAATGAAGTGACCACTGATTTTTCGAATAGTAGAAATATTTAGCACAATTTTCAAAAGTAGGGCATTCTTTTGTGAATAACATCAAACATTAACTTGTGATTATGAATAAACAAACTAGTTTTATCGTAATCGTGATAGTCATTTCTCTGGCATATTTGGGGCATTATTTATATGAGCTATTAGGGAAAAACATAATTAATGAAAGCAATGTTCATCGAAAGCATGATAAGTGGCAGTTGCAAGTATTTAATGATATTGACAAAAATGGCGATGGAGTATTAAGTTATGAAGAGTTTCTTCCATTTTTGGATAAAGCATATAATGGACACTATTCTCTAGTGTCAGAGGATGCCAACTTAGAAAAAGAAACTGAGTATGAGGTAAGAAAAATATAACTTGTGTGCCACAATGCCATACATTTTAATTTGTAGAAACTGAATATAACATTATAAGATAAAAATTATATATTTTAAAGGCTGAAGTGTTTTCATTGTAATTTATGTTTGTAAATTATGTTTATCATCACATTGATAAGGTGTTATTTCAAAGATGAGAGCTATAAATGAATAACAGGAGATCTTTTCCATTTTATGTTCACCAGTCTTGTCAGATGCAAATTTTCTGTCACTGTGAAATTAATTTTCAAAATTGTTTATGTGATCATAATGTTCTTCCAGATTTTTATTTTGCAGGTTATCTCTCTTTGTTATTTATTTTTTGTCTATGGCACTGTCAGCTGCACTATGCTACAGTAGCATATAGACAGCAAGGGACAATTGACCCTACAAAACTGTTCTTGAACTTCTTGCAAACCCATCCTTGAGAAAATGTAAAAATTTAAGCTCACCTTTCAATTCTCAAGAAATTACCAATCCTCCTTTTTAAACTCTTGTAAAGTGTTGGCCTGGCCTTCATTACTACAAGTGGCAACTCATTTCATAAGCCAGTGTTGGTGTTTATTAGTCTGTTTTAACTGAATCCAGCAGCATGTCTCTTCCAAATCATAAACTTCTGTCCTCTCACCCTATTGTGTTCAGAATTTGGAACCCCCAAAAAATTGGAGGCCTTTATGTTATTGATCCCTTAGACAATCTTGTAAACATAGTGAATAAATAATAAGCTTATTTCTTTTGTACTAATACTTTTGTAAGAACTAAATATAGAGGGGAGGCTGTTTTTCTTCATAAAAAGTAGACTGAAAATCATAACAGTTAGTAAAAGATCTGGAGAGTGTGTGTGTGACATCCTAATCATGTTGGTTAAATCAATAGGAATGTGTACAGATTAATTATATTGACAATACAAACCAAAATGATTAATACTTATAATGTTTTGTTAATGGTTGTGTCTTTCTGACATTAAGTTGATTGGAACTTGAATAATTAAGTTATTAGATTTTTATTTTATTTTCTGTACAGCTTTGTTTTTCAGGAGTAATGTGAAATGATTTATTTGTAAGTTATTTTCTTAAAGACAGAGTTTTAGGAGAGGTATTTAAAATAATTATAATTTTCAGACTATTTACACTTTTATATGTGTAGGTTCAAGAAGAAATAAATATAGACTTAAAACCAAATGAAGAAAAAGTCACTATTCAATGTTTTTTTCAACCACTTGTGTTAACATCCTTGACAAAAGATGTTTTCCATATGGATCCAGTAAGTAAACTTGCATTTTTATATGTGATTGTACATTGTATATATTGATGTACATTTTTTACATATATACTTATAAACTAAAATAGAATTTAATAAAATATAATATAATGCAATATTTGATACATAATTTATATTCTATACATCATGAACATGCTGAAATATATACTACCGTATAAGTTAATTTGCACTTTTATATGTGATTATACATTGTATATATTGGTGTAATTTTTTTTATATACATACTTATAAACTAAAATAGAATTTAATAAAATACAATATAATGCAATATTTGATAAATAGTTTATATTTTATACATCGTGAACATGCTAAAATATATATATTACCGTATAAATTAATTTGACAAAATGGAGTTTGTAAGCGATCAGTTACTGATACCAGCATACACAAGTGAAGCCAGCTGTGAACATTTATTCTGATTAGTCATTTTAGTATGTATGAAGTAATTGTTGTGAAGAGTTAAGTATATGTCTACTCAGCAATTTCAATCCTGGCAAAGCAGGTGTATGCAACAAAATTTCAAATGTTCCCTCTCATATCTGATGTTATATTCATGGTCATTGTAGCATGTATTTAAAGAAAAAACCTTCAGTGATATATTTACTATCCATTTAATATTAAATAAATATATTAGTTATATAAATATTTCCTCATAGCTTAACACATTAATTGCTGTGGCACTTGGTATCATCTGTGGCAAGTGCTGATAAGAGTCTTAGTGCAGTATTGTTGTGTTTTCAGTTTATACAATAGCAATAATAACAAATCTAAAACATGTAATATTTACATTTTTTATTTATGATGCACATGTGTGTCACAAGCACACACACAAAAATTATATACATTCACTTGTGCACCCTCAACAATGAACATGTTGAACTATAGAATTCTAAAGAGATCATCTGTTGGGGTATACTGTATTTATTAGTAGGTGGCTGATTATAAAGATAGTCAGATACTCATGTAATGTTATTATGACAACCCACATTACATCTACTTAAGGTACTGCTTTGTCTTGTTAATAAATTATTTCTCCAAGTAGAGGCTGATTCACATATAAAACATATAAAATTATGGACTTCATATTAGTTTTTTTATCTTTTTATCATAATGTTGTATTAGTATTTTCATTATTTTTATTTCTTACAATCAGATCTATTTTTCTTTGTGAAAATGCTCACAAATCTAGCAAGCTAATCCTAAAACAAGATTGATATATAACCAGAGCATATCTTCATCAGTAGTTTAATAATATCAACACAAAATGATTTCTGCACTTGATTGTGATACAAACTTGTATACTCTACTTTTCTTACATATCACATTTATTCACAAATTAATTAAAAGTCTCAAGTTTCAGATATAATAAAAAATATGTTGATCAGTTTGTGTCAGGATGAATCAGTGGCAAGAGGGCTTTCATTACTTTTTATTATCTTATATTCAAGCATAACTTCTTTATCAGTATACTAAATGTAAACTTGTGTTGCATGGAATAGGGGTAGGGGTGCCCAATATAATTAATATATGGGCCATATAGCTCACTTATAGTAAATTTGCAGCCCAGAAATAAAAAGTTAATACTTATCAGTTTAGTGGAAGGTCTGTTCCTTTCTGTCAGATGAGAATTTATCGAAGTCAGGTGTAAGCTGAGATACATTTAGCCTAATTACTGCATGGGTCCAAAGAGTGGATTTTGCATCTGTCATGTTTGAGAATGTTGTTTCACAGATATAAATTCCTTCAAACATAGAAACAAATCCTTGTGCAAATTTCAGTGGGCCAAGGAATTGTTAAATGGATAAAAACTTATAGAACTCCACTAAATTACCTTCCATGAATTTGCCTTTCATCACAGTATTGCATTGCACTTTGATCTATTTTGTACATCATTTAAATTAACAACAAAAGGGTTTTCAAACACATGATTGTCTTTTCGTGTGTGTGTGTGTGTGCAGAAAAGTCAGTAAATTTGTCAATGAAGTTATTTCAAGATCATGAATGGTGCAGTTAACTAAAATGGGAGATGTGAAAAGGTTGAAAGAACTATAATTAAAAGTTTTGAGTAACGTGGGTTACATTCAACATATATTGTTTTTTGTTTAGGCAAGCCAGAAAAAAATCATTGGTAGGCCACATACCATATGTTGGACACCCCTGAACTGTAGTATAGTTCTATGATATGACTTTGTAAATGTTTTTTTTTATACATGTCAAAGTTTACTCAAATAAATCTAATCTAAATATTTGTCTAGAACATTTTAAAATTAATAATAACATCTAAATCTTGTGATGGCTAGCTGAATGAAGTTTATTCAAACTCTCAAGGCATAATACTGTAAAATGAACAGCAAGTTAAAATATGAAGTATTTTGTGAGGTCAACATAATTTTTATAAACCTTTCATAAGTTGGGGGATCTTGGTGCTATTTTTATTGTTTTTTTTGTGTGCATTCATATTCTTATTATAAGATATACTTCTTATAGCTTGTAAGTTTAAAAAAATGTCAGTATTTGTTGATTTTTTTTCAGTTATTATGATTACATCATTTTATGTTTGGTTAGTTGTGAAGACATAACGTTCTAGAAAATGCTATTTTATACTAGCTTTATCACCTGAGATATAAATATGAAATAGTATTTTAATTCATGCTTTATAAAGTTGTTTTCAATCCTTAGTTTGACCAATGTGTTTAGTGCTTAGGCTAGCTCAGATATAGATATTGTTAAAAGAATTATCTTCTTGAAAATCTGTGTATATATACACAGCATATATACACATATACTGGTTGGTTACTTTATTAGAGCCCTCACCTAAAATAAATTTGAAAATCTCACCATCATAACAGCTTGGACTGGCATGGGATACACTTGCCAAGATTCTAAAATATGCCTTATTCATTTGTAACACTTCCATTTAAGAGTATGGTCTCAGTTGGTTTACATATGTCAACACAAGATAGTGCAACTTTCAAGGTTATCCTAACAAGTTCAATCAAGTGAAAACAGATGATTTTTTGAACTAATTTCAGACAATATGAGCATGTTGGAATGTTGTGTTATTGTCTTGGAGAAGCCCTTGGGTAACAGAGTGGAAATGCAGCATTGTGTGGTGCATGATCAACAACAGTGTTCATGTATATTCTGAAAGAGTTATTTACCATGTTAAAGGGATCAAAGGACGTAACCTTTGCCACGAGAAAAACATTCTCCACTCTATTGTATCATCTATAGCTGCATGTATTGTTCATAACAGCAAAACAGTTTAATGTCTCGTTTGTCTTTTTTTTTTATAATTTTACCCCATTGTCAGTAAAGAAAAGGGTGAAACTCATCAGACACCACATTTATCCAGTCATTCATTTTATGCAATTCTTCATGCTTTAAGAACAGCTATAACTGTACCTTATTGGGTGTGTCTGAGATAAGCAAGCAGTTTTTGAACTGATTTTGTAATGTCCTTTGCATGGTATATTTGGAAATGGTTGAATCTTGACCAAAGTTGAAAAGAACTGGTCAGTTGACATACTATGACATCTGTTTCTCTTACAAAGCCTGTCCATTTTTCTTTTTTCCCAATCAACCATCCTACTATTGGTGACCACAGTTTTTCATAATGGCAAATGTATTCTCTTTTAATTGTTGTTATTGATAGACTGTAATGGCAGAAGTCCTTGAACAGCAGATCAAAGAACATTAGTGCCATTTTGAATGTCAAAAAAGTCCTTGTACTTGTCTTGCAGACTAACATGATATGAATATATTTCTACATTTTTAGGATTTAAGCAACTACATATCATATGATTAGCTTATTGTTTATATGAACGTAAATGTAATATTTTACAATGTGTTTGATGGGAGAGTCTAATAACATGGCCAGTCGTTATAGCTAAGAAGAATGTTGTAGCTCTATAAAGTTGTATAAAGAGAAGGTGCAATATTTATTGGAGAAAAATCAATATATTGCAAAGATAGGGTAAAATGTTGATTCTTAGATACACTGTATTCTGCCTTTTTGCATTGTATTGATTTTCATGGTACTACTACTTTAAAATACTGCACTTTGCATTTATTAGTATTTTAATTCACAGTGGCAGTTACAACTTTCCTCAAGTGAAAGTAACTCATATACTGGTAACTGGGATTGTTGAACAATTTGTTACAGCTCTTTGGCTAAGTGTAATGAAACTTCACAGACATTGCATTACCCTACTGTGAAAAGATAGAGATCTATGTAACAACAAATTAGTTGAGGTCATCTGAAGAAAAAGCATTCAAAGCAATAATTCTTTTTTTAAAATTAGTTTAAACATTTACAAGATGTTTAGCAAGGTTTTGAATTCCTGCACATGAAATCAAATTAACCTGTGTAGTTTGTGTATGACTGCATATGGTGCATTACAATCTACAAGTATATTGCTTTATTAACCTTCTGTATGCATTCATTTATATATTTAATTGTCAAAATATATATAATATTTAATAATCACAGTGATGAATCAAGGAAATTGTTTCATAGAAAACCAGTAAAATATTTATAATTTTTCTTTTTGTGACACATATATATATATCATAATTTTACTAAATATGGCTACATTTTTGTTAAGAGTCATTCAAGGGTTCTGGAAGGTCTTCTGCAGTGGAAGAAGCCCCGCCATTTGTGGCAGGACTTTGCCATATGTAATTTTTCTATATTTCTTCCTCCATCTGATCTGCACCCTGGAAAACCCTGGTGGATAATACCATCAGAGCTAGATGCTTATTCTGGTCAACTCTCCAGTTCAAGGATGCTTCCTCCAAAAGTCAAACCCCATATTAAGTGGTTACATGCAATGCTTGGAATGTTTCATAAAAATGTATTTCTTCATTCTCGCTTTGCACCTCAAGGAATGACTGCAGTAATTCGAGCAATGAATGAAGAATACTTAGATGTTCTGTTCAGGTAAGGTGGGTTTTGAATATGAGCTTTTTTAACTATTTTTCAGTCTTCATTTTAATGCTGTATGTTATAATGTAGAGTTCAAGAGAAAAAGGTTATATTTAAAGTTTTTCAATGTTCTGAAAGAAAATAATTGCTGAACAATTATGTATAATAAACAAGATTGTAAACTATGTATTAATAATTAAAAAAAAGGCATGATGAGCAATATGCATGTATATTCAAAATAAAAATCAGACTTTTGTAGTCCTTATTTAAAATATTTCAATTTGCCATTCAAAAGTCTTCTGAATAGAATTCACACTAAGATAATCCAAATACACTAAGCCCATATTTTAGTATACCTGCAACCAGATTTGTAAATGTCTTAATTTGTAAAATGGTAAATTTCCTGCATTACCAATTTTTCTAAAATTTCTGTTTAACACTTTTGCTTGACACTTGAAGACACTATTTGTAAATAAATTGTATTTGGTAATCTGAAGTTACACCATATCATACTCAGTATCAGTGCCCTGCGAGTGAAATACACGTATAATGACTTTCCAGAATAATTGTATTTGTTATTAGAACCCTTAGCACTCTATAGCCTGTAAAAGGTTAAAGAAAAATGATATCTGTAAAAATAAAAATTATTTCAATACATTTTTTTCCATTTTTCTTCAGTTATTTTAATTCAAAAGCATTATGAAAAATTTACTTTTCTTATTGGCCTGTGACTTTCTTAAGAATTTTGTGAATTGTTTTGATACTTGACCCTGTCATGACCAGCAAACAACTTTCAAGTATTGAGTACACATTTATATATATCAAGCTTCAAAATCTAAGTACAAGTAACAATTCTAACCCTATTTTAACAATATAACTCAAACATATGTTAGAAGCTATATTTTGTCATTTTGTGACATTTATGTTGTGTAATTTACAAATCAAAATGAAAAAAAGTTTCAAAATGTAATTTATGAGCATCTCTGAGAAGTCTTGCTTCTAAACAAGGTACTTACTGATATTTTTAGGATTTTTCTGCTCATCTCAAAATTGAAGTTTATGTTTATTAAAAAACTATCATTCCTTGAGAATATATTAGCCGTTTCTTCTTTCACATGTGATGATTCTTCTATATTTGGAATTTTATTATAGCCCTTAGTTCCCACCAATTTGTCTGAACAATTGGTAATAAAGAATGGCTTTAAAAACAGCTAAAGGTGATGTTTGAACACCATTGGATAGAGCAGATTATCAACTATTTACATAACATAATTATAGAGGAATAAAGTTTATGAGCAGTAATTTATAGTTTGTTGCAAAAATTACTTGATGGAGGTCCTACAAAAATGAACAACAGAATCTAATGGGAAGTTTAGGAGACTTAAGAACAAACCATAAATCTGAGAATTTTTTGCAGTCTCCTTGTGCCAGTGTTCACATTAATGCACTTTTTATGTATAAATGCAAAATTTTAACACAGCCTATGGGAAAATTTTTTTATAATGCATGCCAGGCAAGTAGACTTAAGATGACCTTAATGCTGCTATTTAAATCTTATTCACCATCATTTAGTTTTTAGTGAAATTGAGATCTTTTTAAATTTTCATTTGATTCTACGTCACAGCATCCATACCTTTTCCTTGAGTCCCTAGAACTCTCAAAATTTAAGTGCTAGTGTGAACACTGTTTAGACTTTATTTTCGTTGCATAAAACGTTTTTATGTTAAATTACATCTGTTTGCAAGCTGTTGAAATTTTCCTCTGTGAGAAGACTAAGTAAGCTAAGTTAGTTTTAGTGAGTATGGCAGCTGACAACAAAATATTCTGATGACTCAAATCCTTATTTATTGATTATTATTGGTAAGTTTATTTATTGTATTCAATCAATGAAAATAACTAAAAGAACTTATTATTCATTGAAAATAAGCTTTATTTGTTAGATACAGATTAATCTTAATGAAGAATTTTATTTGAAAAAATATTGTTACTTATCCTGATAAAGGCAATGGTGACACCATTATGAAAGATCAGGTTGAAGGTCACTGGTAAATCTTTATCAGTTTTTGCCATGTTGTCTTATAATTTTGCTGCAGTAATTAAAATGAATTGTAAAAAGAAATATGTTACTGAATATCAGTCAAGTAGAAACTAACTGTATATATAAAATGGAACTATAATCAACAATAAAAATAAATTCTAAAACAAATGAAAGTATTTTAATTCTTTACAAAACAGTGTGTCACAAAAATGTTTTTGAGATTTTACAGTATAAAAAATGATACAAATCTAAAACAAATATATGAGTTTTTAAAGCCAAAACTAGATAAGATACTACTTACTAAGCTTTCATTAAGTTTCATGCAATTTATTTAAGTATTTTCACTGTGAGAAAGCAAAAATCAAGGGATATTAATGACATTCCACCAGTCAGAAAAAGGTTAAATTACCAAATACTTGGGCTTTCATGCTTTGTAGTTTAAAGGTTTTTTTCATTATATTTTTTAGCTTTTATAAATTTTGAGTTTGAGTTAATTTTTACCAGGATATTTTTCCCTGACAACATTATTAGGATTGATGAAATAAAAAGTTACTTGAAATATAAATTTTCCTCGTATATACATGGATTATTGATAGAAATATAAAACTACTGAAAAATAGCCTTCAGAATCTGCAGTATCAACATGGTAAATCAAAAAATAAATGTAACCTTATTTGAGGCTGAGTGGATTGTACTGATTTTTAAGTTTTTATGGACTGCTTCTGTTTGAAGTGTAGGAATACTCAATGCTTCAGTCTATGTGCTGAGACCTTCATCAAGTTGATAAGAAACTGCTCTGCTGGTGTATGTATAGTTGGTCTGAGGTTTGTAGGGTACTATCCTTCTAGAGAACTCTTTCTACACAGGTTTCATGTGCATTGTCTTTTAATGTGGTTGTGTCGTTTGTAGAGAGTGGAAGTGTGGTTTGGGCTCTGTGGTTTGTGGCACTGTCTGTGTGATGGTATATTTGTACAGTGCACATGTTTAAATTTTATAAAGTCCAAAAATGTCCAAGGTAAGTAAGTATAATTTTTAATGGAGAATGCATTTTATAACATTATTTTTCATTGATGTACAGACTGAGGATTTTTTGTTGAATCTAACTGGTATTGTAGTTGCTTGATGTTTTTTTATTCTTTGACCTATGGTTTTTCCAACTTCTACAGCATAAGTTGATGGGTTTGTTTCCATTATTTAAACTCTAGTGAAAAGTTTATTTCTAAATTGATCATATTCTTGAAGAATCTATAAAAATTTCTAGATCTTGATATATAAATGTTAAAAATGCATTTAAAAAGAGTCAAGGTCAGGGCAGTTATATTGTAATTTTCTAGTTTTATTTAATATCAGTGTTTTGGTCTTACTTTCTGTATAAGTGAAATTTCGAAATGTAATGTTATAGGACTTTTAAATTTTGTAACTGTTTTCATAGAACAAACTTTGTATGAAAGTTTACACAAATGTAATGACAGTAAACTTTTAAAAAAGTGTTATGTTTTTTTTTTGCATTAGTGCTTTTAGTTGTTTGCTAACATTTGATTAATCTTTTATTAGAGTTCTGGTAAAAAAGTACTCATGTTTATGTTGACTATTTAATGCATTGTGAGCATCCATCATACATTTTACTAAATATGTTTATCTTGTATATGTAGTACAATATGTAATCCTAGGGAGTTGTGAAACCTTGATATCAAACTGTGCTTTTGTTTTCTTACAATTATTTTTCAAAGTATAGGCTGCATGCAGAATTTCAGTTGAATGAGCCACCAAACTATCCATTTTGGTTTACTCCAGCACAGTTTAGAGGGCAGATAATTATTAGTAGAAGTGGCAACATTGTTAAACTTTTCAAAATGGAAGTTCCAACAGAGAGAAAACTTAATGTTGGTAAGTTTATTTTTATTCAGTAGATTGATTTGTTTTAAAAATGCTGATTTATAACTTATGTTTGGTCTTAGTGAGTTTGGTAATTAAACCTTGAGAAGGTTTAATACAAGCAGTTATGATTCTTTTCTTGTAGAGAGCTCTTAGCTTAATCCAAGGTTTTGTTTTTAGGTTTTTATAATATTGAAGTTGAAAAGTGCAATCCATTATTCAATACAGTAGATCTTAAGACATTTATATCAAACAGACTAAAATGCTGCAATAAATTGCTACTGTGAATTGCTGGTGCTGGTCTGTATAGAAACTGATAAGAGTTTGAAATTTCTGCATATATTCAATCCTGTCTAAAGTTTCTTTTAGGTATTGATGTAAAGTTTCTTGAATGCTAGTGATTAAGCCATGTTTTTGCAATTGTATTGCTTTAGTATTTATCATGCTGCATTATTTTCATGTATTTGTTGTGTTTTAAATAGACATGGAGTGGTTGAATGGACCAAGTGAGACTGAGGACATGGAAGTTGATATTGGGTATATTCCCCAAATGTCACTGGAATATTTTGATCCCTCATTCAGCAAAGAAAGACAGAATTTTCAAACTAGTCAAGATGCACAACATGATAAAGAGGTTAATGAGGTGTTGCAGTGGACACAGGAGATACCATATGAGAATGCCTATAAGGTTTTAGAGAGACTAATGTATCCATTTAAACAGGTTTGTATACTGAGGTGTAATATCATTAAAAACTAGAGTATCATTTTTATTAACACTCTTAAATAATAGGATCTGAATAATTCACTTTTATTGAATAGCTTTTCATGTAGTCAAAATAATTAAGTCATTAGATTTTGATGTTTTATGTTTTCAGTTACTAAAATAATTGTCTGTAAAATTTACTGATTTACTAAAGATACTAATATTTTGGTATATTGATGAATATTAAATGCAACAGTATATAGTCATTTGCAGGATTTCCTCTGGATTTTCATATTTTTTCAGTCACTTTTGCCAAATGAATTTTTTTATGAGCCACAAATTTTTAAGTCAATTTTTATGTTAATTCTGTGGTATCTTCAGATAAAACTGATTTTACTTAGAGTGACAAGACAAGTTTGCTGAGTAACAGGAGATTTAACAAGATATTTATTACAGAGTAGTTCTGAATTTTTTGTGAAACTGAGCTTATGAGAATGAAATAGAGAGACTGGACACACTGTAAGACACAGTGAACAATATTCAGTTAATAACACAAAAACATTGTGTATATTTGCTTATGGTGCTGAACAGTCATTTTTACTTGATCTATGCTGTTTTCCCTCCAAACTGTATTGGTCAAGATTGTATACAAGACTGAATAACCTATGTTATTTAAATAACTTGGAAATGTCAGACTTACCTACCCTAGTGCTACCCAAATGATTGGTCATTTGCATTCAAGCATAAAAAGGGCTGTAACCTTGAGGCATCACATAACCTACCACATGCACAGTTGTAGCTATGCAGGCAGATTAGGTGTCATCCAAAGAGAATGACAGAACATAGGCAGCGAGAATAAAAAAAAAGTAATGTCTTTTTTTCTTTTTTTTTACCAAGTGTTGTGTGAAAAATGCACATTATCAGGTTAACTGACAACATCTGAAAAACTGTATTAAAATAAAAAGATTTAAAATGCAGGCTATCTTATTTACCACAGTTTTTATTCTATTTCAACAATCTTTAACTCAAAACTATTTTAGAATTGATATTTTGTCATTTTGTAACATTTATTTAGTGTAATACACAAAGCAAAATAAAAATATCTTCCAATTTTAATTTCTGCTCAGCTCTGAGGAGTCTCGCCTGTAAACAATGCACTTTCCAATTGTTTTGCAAATTTTCTGCCCTTCCCAAAGAATAGCTTTACATTTGCTATGAAACTATTACATCTTGAGAATATATTGATATTTCCTTGATTTTCAAGCATTTCCCTTGCCTTTTTCTGCTCATTTTTTGTACATGCCATGGGTGTCACTCTTTTATGATACCATATCAAGTGGTTTGATCAATCACTAATGAAACACAGCATTGGTATCAATTATAAAGAAAGTTATAATATGATTGTATAGAGCAAGAATTAGACATTTCATATCAAAGTAGAGTAAATAAAGTAGTTTAAATAGTAGTTTATAGTTTTGTGGGAAAGTTCCCAATTGACACTGCTATTGCATTGTCCAAAGGCATTGTAAATGAGGTTTTGAAGACTTTGGAACAAACCATGGAGCTGGAAATTTTGTTAATAGTTTCCTTATATCTTTGTGGAAGTGTTTATTTTTAAATTATATTTGTTTGAAAGCTGCAGAAATTGTCTTCCATGAACAGACATCAGATAAGCATAGTTTTGTTTTATGAGTATGTTAGACAGTGGCAGAATATTCTGATGATTCAAATTGTTATTTATTGAATATTATTGGGATGTATTTCTTATTTAAATTATATACAAAATAAATTGCCTGACTGGTTACTTAATTATTTCTAACTTAAATTGTGAAATGTTTTAAATACATTATTATCAATATTAGTGATAGTGAAAAATGTTTCCAATATGGTACATTACTTCCTTTCCCATATATACAACTATTCTCGTTCAGCACTGCCATCTATATGGAAACATTTTTTTTGCATATTTCAAGCTTTGCACTACCATGTATCCCATGATTATCGTGTTTCAACTGCATCTCGCATGCAACTCATCATGTGACAACCCTCCACCAATAGGAGTGCAACACACCCTCCTGATGCTTCTGACTCCCTCTATTCGATTCTAGCGAACTATCACTTCTCATTAGGCAGTGCTATAGTCAAGACATGTTTTGAGTGTATTCTTGTCACACATTTTTCTCCTTAATATTATCATATGAAGTGGAAAGATTATTTATATCTTTTGTTACTGTTTTATTTTTAAACGTTTTCACTGATAACTTACTTTGGTTGTTTTTCTCATTTATTTGAATAATTTTCAAATTTTCATCATTTTATAATGAATACCAAAGTCAATGTTACCACTTCAGATATTCTACAATCTGCTATCAGCACAGTTACACAGGTTGGGAGAACTCGACTGAGGAATTTTCAGCCTTAATTCGTAGGGAGCTTGAACATTATCTGAATTGACTTTCTTCTCCCAATAGTGTTCGACCAGCTCCTGAACCTGCCTAACTTGTTTGTGATGACGAGGAATTTTCCTCCACTCGATTATGCCGTGCTTTCCTGTACCTTTTCTGTGGAATCTGCTGTGCCTAATTCAGCCTTTTCAGACATGATTTTGCAGGTTTGTTCTGTTTTATCCATTTCCCTGATTTCTTCTAACCCTGTTCCTTCCTTATTACATGACACCCCTTCCTCCCAATATTTTGTTTTCCCTTCTTCTCCTGATGTCAGGGTTCATGCTGAACATTTCTTTCTCGGTTATGAGCTGATGCTAGTACGCCTTGCCCTTCCATCCTTTAATTATTCCTCCCACTAGGGGTTCCATGGTTAATCATTTTTTTGATGCAAGTCTCATCATTTCTAGTTGCACTGATGACTATACTTTGGGTTCTGATCCAGTTGGGACTCATTTGACTGATTTTATTCCCCTCTGGTTGGAATTCGCTACCGTTCATTGGGTTCTTCATGTTTCCTCAGAGGGACTTGTCATCCAATTCCTTTCCCCACCCCCGTTGTTTCCTATATTCATATCCTTTACGTTACCTCGGGATCCTTCTGTCAATCAATGTCTGTCAGAGGCAGTAAAGGCTCTTCTATCACAGAGAGCACTTATCACCTTGGGTAAGACACATATGTGGACTCTGCACAATCAATGGAACCTTGTTCGGGTTCCCTTGGATTCTCCCATTACCATTCTTTCTTCCCTCTTTGTCAACCTGCATTGGTCATTAAAAGAACAAGGCCCACACATTGTTAGGTGTACCGCTTCCTCCTCCTCACCTGGATTTGCATCTCTTCACCAATGCTTCCCTGCATGGTTAGGGGCATGGGTTGATCAGCAGAAGATGTTCAGACAATGGTCTACGACCAAGGAATTTTACCATATCAACACTTTGGAGCTTCTGATGGTACGATGAGCTTTGGATCACTTTCTTCCTATAGTCAGAAATAGACTTATCATGATCCATTCCAACAATTCTACAGGGGTAGCTTATCATTCTTGTTCCCTTTGCAGCCAAACTTTAGATCTACTTTTTTGGGCCCACATGCTTGGGATAAGTCTCTTTGCATGTCATGTTCTGGATGCTTTCAACCTTGTAGCAGATCATCTTTCTAGACCAGACAAAATTTATCCACTGGAGTGGTCCCCTGATCCCCAGGTTTTCAGGTAGCTATGCTTACAGTGGGATGCTCCTCAGCTGGATGTATTTGCCACTTTCCTCAATTCCAAGTTACCTCTTTTTTGGTCTCTGGTTCTTCATCCACAAGCCCTAGCTGTCAATGCATTCAGCCATTATTGGACCAACCAATCAATTCCTTTATGTTTCTCCTCCCATCCATCTTTTTCCCCGGGTAATTTTGATCATCCATGCCACTCTGTGCCAGATTCTTCTGATTGCTCCTTAATGAATGGCTCAACTCTGGTTTCCTTCATTACTTCAACTTTGTACTGCTCCTCCGTTGCCTCTTGCTTTCACTCCTTCTACATTAGTCTCGGTCATTGGTATTTCATCCTACCTTTTCTGCCTTTGGTCTTCACACCTGGCATTCATCAGGTTCTTGGCAAGGAGATCCGGATTGTCTCGGTGGGTCATTTCCTTTTTATCTCATTCCATTAGTCCTTTCTCAGTAGCAGTTTATCAACAAAAATGGAATGTTTTCCATCATTGGTTTTTGAGTTGGAGTTTTCCCTTTTTTGACCCACTATTCCTCTTATTAATGATTTCCTCTCTTGGCTGTTCGACCATGGAACTTTGGTCTTGTCCATGTCTGGATATCGAGCAGCCTTATCCTTCACCTTACATTTTTCCTGTTACCCTTTTGTGTTTACCTCCCCTACCCTCTTCCTTTTGTTGTGTTCCTTCTGGATTCATAGATCTACTCGTCGAGCAGTCCTTGCGGATTGGAATGTCAGTGTGGTTCTTCACTGTGTTACTTTACCTCCATTTGATCCTTTGTCCTCCTGTTCTTTGTTTCACTTGTCCCTTAAGAACTACTCCTGTTAGCCTGTGGGCATCATTAATCTGATATATTTGTCATCATTGTCTCATGCACTCTTTATTCATTCCACATATGTTCTTCTTTATCTGTATTGATCTTTCCTTCCAAAGACTTTGGCAACCTATGGAAGTAATTCTTCCTTCTTGCCAATTTCCCTTCCTTCCATCTCCCACCTTTCTTCCTGATCTGATCAGGATATGTTTCTATGTCCTTTATGTATGCTTCATTGTTATATTGCACACACATCTTCCTTCCATAGTTCTCATTCCAGCTTTTTTCATTCCCTAGCACCATTCCTCTGTTCATGACCTTTCTCATAATATGTGTTCAGATTCCAATCCAACTGTTTTTTCTCACTTTTGGCTGTGCTCCTCCATTTTTCTGCCAGTGTCTGCAACACCTCTTTTCACACTGGGCAAAGAGTATACCAGGTACAGAAGTAATCTCTCACATATGATTTTCTATTAAGAGGATCATCAGTATAAGGTGTTCTATGGACACTTTTGAAGGGTGCTTCTTTTTGTCCCTTGCACCTGCCTCTCCACCTCTTCAGTATGGGATTCTACCTATTTTTGTGAGAAGAGGTAATGTACCTTATCATTCAAACACAGCTTATTTTCTTTGGCCTTTTAAGGCATTTCTTTGTTATCTTGCTGCACTGCTCTCTTTCAGGGCATTCAGCATAGTTTTTGCCTTGGAATTCCTCATATGATGTATCTTCTTCTACCTTGACTAGTTGGGTTACACAACTCATTCAGTTTATTTATTCCTCTGTGGAATGAAATTCCTATCTTTTTTTTTATGGCACCTACCATAAAGTTAGTCATCTCACAGTTTTTCTTAAAGTTGGCCATTGACATCCTCTGGATGTAATAATGTAGGTAGGATGTGAATGATCCTAGATACCTTTGTGTCACATTTCTTACACTGCATTATTCTTTCTTCCACATCTGGTTTTCATTTCCCTCCTTTGCCATTCCCTAATCTTTCCAGGCTCTAAAAGGTGAGTTTTTTCTTGCACATACAACAACAAAAATTACCTCAACCTATCAAAAAAGAAACTGGAAACAACAGAACCCACCATATGGCTGGTGTTGCCTCACAGGAAATACTTTTCTCTCACAAACTCCATCGAATGGAGGGGATAACAGAAAGTGTCAAGCCTGACTTGCCCCTGCTCAGTGCTTGCTGATGAGATGGAATTTTTCCACAAAACTGCTTCAGCAGAGTGTGTGTGTGTGTATATTAACTTCAAAGGGGTTCTTCAGAAAAGAAAAACATCACCAGTTGTGATCCTTCCCTCACTTATTTAAGACAATAACCCATTGTTCTGTCTATCAGTGTGGGACCTTAGGCAGATGATAGAAAATTCCAGTTTGGTAACATACTTCTCAGGTGTTCTTCCCTATGCATGTTGCTCCTGCCCATTTTCTTAAAAGTAGAGTAATAGGGATAATTCTTGCTTCCTAAGTCCCAAGCCATTGGAGATTTCCTTTTTTGGGATGGTGTAATCCCATTGGTATGAGACTAAGTGGATACACCCCTCGATCACAAATAAGCCTGAAATATCTACCTGAAATTATAGTACAGACCACCCCCAGCACTGAAAACTACACCATTTCTGCTTGCTGGATAGATCTTGCATTCACCTTAGAATGCCAGTCCGGGTTGATTCATCTTTGCACCTGCTTATTCTAGTACATATTTCATGTAAGTATTTCTCACATACTGTATGGCTTAACTTATTGCTTTACTAGCCAGGCTACATATATATGCTTTACCAACCCCTTGAAATATACAGGCTGGTTAAGCAGTCATTACTTTCTGCCCACTTGTGACACTTTTGCACCATGCAGTAGGTTTTGGACAATTCCTTTTACTCTGTCATTTCTGTAGGGTGAAAAGTATTCTCTGCATGAGCTGGGTCTCCCACCAACTGATGCTACACTAGGTCCACAGCCCCAGTGACATGCTACATAAGTTTTTCCATTCTGTTGCTTATTTCCTCAGAAATCAGCTCATCTTTTTTAATTTTCTTTATCCACAACTGTCCCTACACCATCTTATCAATGTGGAATTCTAGGTCTCAGATCTGTGGAGAGGTGAACAGCATTTCTGAAGTTAACATTTTCCTTACCAGAAAGTATATTCCAGGTAGCTACTTACCTCCCCACAGAGCCACCCACTCTTCCTCTCTCTTCTTCTAGTGTATGTCTTTTATATAATCAAGAACTATACTATACAGAATGTGCTCAAGGGGTATAGTCTAATGCTGATTGCATCAAAAACTGGTACAGTACATGTTATTATGTGTAGGAGTGGGAGTTTCATTCAAAGGCTTGCCACATATGCATATGCATTTTAGGAGTATTGCAGCATAATAATGTCAGTTGTTTGGAGAGATGAGTATCTATCTGAATATATTTTAAGGAAATTTTTAAAATTTAACACAGTTGTTAATGAAGACATTTTTTACATGCCAGCTGGTCATCCTCCTAGTTATCTAACAATATATTTTTTCATTTACAGACAAGATGCCTTCTCTTTAATGATATATTTTTATTTTTTGTTATGGTCAGACTCATCGGTTTGGAACTTATTTGTAATAAGCTTTGTGGCTAAAAATTTTTGGTCAATGTTTTTGATCTACCATAACATTTTTTCCATATTCAGTAAGAGTTATTAGTTTTTATTAACTAAAAACAAAGGAGAGTAATCCCTTGCTGATATCTCTCTGAAAATGTTGTATAACTAGGGAATTGACTAATTTGTATCTTCTGTAAAATATTTTGGTATAATATCTCTAGGATAGATTTTTGTTCCATATTTGAAAATTTGGATTCTGTTTGTGGGTTTTCAAGGTGAGAGGTCCTGTTTGTTTGTTTCTTCTGTTTAGAGGTTGTGAGTTTGTTTTGGCTGGACTCCAAGTATATCAAAATAATATTTAGAATAATACCAACCGTGATTTCAATGTTTGACTTTTGTTGGTTTCCACCTTCATAAGAATCTTCCTGAAATTTTGTTTTACTCTCCTGTTCCTTTGAGTTGAAGACATTGTGTTTTCTATTAGCTCTCTGATATTTGATGACAAAATTGATGTTAGAAGAAGAAGAAACATAACAGTAAAATTTATCAAATAAGAAAAGATGTTCACAGATCATTTGAGGTATAATGATTTAGCTGTGTAAACTCATGAAGTTAAACAAGTTCTGGTTGTTCATTTGAAAAATATGTTTCATCTCTCTTTCTTTTTATTAACCAGTGTCATAAGTGCATTAATATGTTTTTGATTGATTGCTACTGTGGAACATTTTATTTATACTTAAGAAAGTACATTGTCCCATTTTCACGTTATTGTATTAGTTTCAACGAAGACTTGAAGAATCACTGGAATATCTTTACACTGATGACCCACTCAACAAGAAAAGTGTTACTTATTTACAGCATTTTAGCCTTATAAAATTTTTTTGCTTTTCCCTTTGTACTTCATCTTGACTACTTCATAGTCCCTATTTCCATCAGAGTTGTTGAAATTCCTTTAATAAATTTAAAATTGTAAAGCTTGTTTAAGAATAAACATAGAGTTGACATAAGTCAGAGAACTTCAAAAAAATCTACACACATTTGTAAATCTGTGGTTAATGTAGAGTTGATATAATTTAAAGGAATGTAATGTACCCATGAATATGGGGCACCAGTTTGAATATTACACGTAGACAGATACAAAGAGAAATATATCTTCTGAAATGAAAAAAGGCAGAAACTTTTTGAAGTTAGTGATGAATGGCAGAAGAACCAATTAAGATTTTCTGATCTAGAGAATGTTATATATCTCTTGTAGAATGTTAAGTAATAAGTAGTTGTTGTTTTTTGTAAATATGTATATATTATTTATGTCAGAAACTGTCACAATGTACTACAAATTTATATTGATGCTTTTTAAAAAAGATTAAAGTTAAACTGCACATTTCCTATGTATGGTTTGGTGTGTATTTAGTTTTGTGAAATTGAAACTAAGGAAGTGATTCCAAAGTAGATATTTCTTTTCTTTTAGGTGACATACTACAATTTTACAGATGCCTTTACTCAAGCACAAACTGACAACAAACTTGTTCATGCTGTGTTACTCTGGGGGGCTTTAGATGACCAATCCTGCTGAGGATCTGGGCGGACGCTGCGAGATGGAGCTCTTGCAAGTCCGCCCAATCTTCAACTTCTTCAAAATCATTTTGTTAGTACTTGGGCCTTGGTGTCAGATTTAGAAGTAAGTTTTTTCAGTATATTCAGATGATGTTAAGATATCAGACTGTAACAAAATAACACAATGTGACTAGAATTCACCTTAATTATCTCATTCTTAGCTGGCACAATACAAGGTTCCAGTGACAAAAGAATAGTTCATAATATTATTTTAACTGCACCTTGTGTCTATTGTAGACTGCTTCCGACAAGGTTTTTTTTGTTCAATATTCAGGACTTAATAGGCTAGATGAATTACAAAATGCTGGTAATATCAATTACATATGAGATGTCTATATTATGTAAGGTGTGTCATGATCCTTGTTAGACTTGAATATGATGAAACATAATAATATGACTGGCAATAAGTACTAAATTCTGTACTTGCCCAATACAAGCTTTAAGTGAAAAAAAAGTTCATAACCTTTCATGTATTTCAGATGAAGTTTCACTGATAAAGACACCACAGTGGTTTAAAAATACAGGTTGAGTGAACCTGTGAATACATTTATTAATAAGACAGTGAATTTCTTTTTTACTGTAAGTCCATAAAAGCTAGTGATTGGTGTGGTTCTACAAAGGAGTTAAAAAAAGAAGTACTGGGTATACCACTCATTATTTTCATGAGTATGTCAAGAATCATTTGAACTCAAGGATCAAGGATAGTTCCAGCATAATGTTTCATGCATCAATAGCACATGATCAGGTTGTGACTTTAGACAATTTTCTCTCATCAGAGTGGCTAATTTTGAATATCATCTTCAGATTAAAGTAAGCCTTACTCAAGAAATTGAAACCTGAAATGAACTAATTGGCTACTTAGTGAAAATGTTACTTAAACTGTAAAACTATGGTTCCTTTGATTTGATTAAGTGTACTTCTAGTTATTAATACCTTTCAATGGATTTACTACCTTAACAGGTCATATTTCATTTCTACATTTTGTTATAGTATGAGACATTCTTTTTAGCAATTAGAGTGAATTCATAATAGTAATATTTTGTATATTTATTGCACTTGTACATAAAATCATTTCTGTGTCAGTTGCAACAATTTTCTACTTATTAGAAGGAAACAATGTGCACTTTAAATGTTTTCATGTATTCTTTAACCAAGTATACTAGCATCATTTAATACATTTTTCTTTGTAACTCAGATCTTGAAATCTCAGAATCCACCTAACCTGGAATCCCACCTTGCTGAATCTGTTCTCAAAGATTATAATTTCCCAGTGGAATCTTTGGTAGTGTACCCAAATGGAACAGTTGTTCATCATATTAATGCTAACACACTTCTTGATTTTGGTGATCAAATCATTGATTTCTCAATCTTGAAAGGGTAAGTATAATCCTTAAACATATGCTGTAAAATCCCTACTTAGATTTTTCATGGTATAGTTCAAAATGTTGGTAATGTTAGTTTACTAACTAACAAGTTTCCAAGTTTGTTTGTCATGAAACTAAAAAATACTAGTTAGAAATAATCCATATTTGTCATTAGAACTTTGAAAAATAAATGTGATTATTAAACTATGGAAATATTTTGATCATATCAGAAAAGTTGTGGAAATTACTCTTACATGATTAAAATGTTGGAAAGTTGAAATTCCCTAATCAGTTACATTAGAATAGGTTGGCAATTGCCTCAGGACCCCCATCTAGTGAGGAACCTTAAATGCTTACCAACAGTTATAAAAGTTTTACATGAAAACAGCAAAAAAAATGAAGAATATAAAGAAATGGAAAAGTAAGATTTGGCAGTGACAGAAAATAAGAAGAAACAGGCTCTTATCAATACATATTGAGCAAGCTTTCAACTCCTCTCTTGGAGCTGTCATTAGACCAGCTGTTGTGTAATAAGAATATGGTTTTAACCCTACCAACACAGGTCTTCCTATGGTCACGGGTCAAAGGCCATGTCATTGTGTTTGTAGATTCATATTCAAAATTTTATTGAACTACTATTTTATGAATGTATGTCGATAGGTTTGGTATCAATTTGTGGATTATAATTCAAATTTTAGTATTATACATTAGTTAATTTCTTAATTTAAAAGTAAACATTAAACAAAATCCTAAATATGGATTTTTGTGTGTCATGTGGTATGTTGAATGCAACATTGGTTCAAATTAAATACTTGTGATGTCCAAATACGAAGTCTATAGTTTCTTATGAATTAGATACTCAGATTACTGATATTAACAAGCTAGAATATATGAAAGAACTTTCTATATTTTATATTTGTCAAGATATTAATATATCTATTGAATCAACTTAGGTAGCCCTGCCCACCTCTTTCATTTTTGAAAATACTTGCTTAGGTACACCTACTTTGCCCAGTGACATGTGTATAACCAATCAAAAGATCAGAATGTCCCCCGAGTGCTTTTCTTAGTCTCTACGAAGTATTTGAGTGGGAAACTCTTTCTTTTCATGCTAGATTCTAAGTGGTAATGTAAGACATTAGTGAGCTCGAAAACTCATATTTTTTAGAATAGTAATGTAAATAGTAATAATGTATATATTTATATAATATATTATAACCAAAATATGACTGTATTTTTCAGAAAAATAACCGAAATTTAAGAAGTTATTTGTAAATAGTAATAATGTATATATTCATATAATATATTATAACCAAAATATGACTGTATTTTTCAAAATACCTGTCCACTAGAATGCAAGAATACAGCCAAGTCAGGTCACATTGTAAAGGCCAGTTTTATATTCTTTGATATGTTAACATGAGTGCACATGCACCATGTCACTGCAACTTCTGTATTTTTAGTCAGGCACACTGAAAGGTCAATAAAATAAAAATTATATATATAGATGTATAATGTTATGAGATTTAAGATATTTAGACTAAACATTTGTGTTTTTGTGTTATAATTTGTAGTCATTCTAGAATGAAAAAAGATAATTATCTCGAGGTTATAGAGATTTTGCATGTGAAATTCGAAAATTTTCTGATGTATAAAAGTATTTTTAATCTTAAAATTAAAATTCCTTTTCAAAAAGAAAAAATGTATGAGCAAATCTTTACTTAAAAAATCTTAAAACTTGATACAAAAAAAATCTGATATTTCGTATACTAAATTCTTGTAATCTTTACAAATAATCTGCAATGATGACAAAACCTTGTCGAAACGTTGTACATTTGCTGTTATGTTAAACTTATATTAAAGTTTTTCTTCATTACCCACTCAAGCCGTCTCCAGCCATTATTTGTGAAGATATGCTTATTGTATTAAAAGTTTTAGCATGAAAACTATAACAAGCACAAAATGGTTATAAGGTCGGTCCCTTGGACCAAGCCTGTAGTGAAAGAGTGAAAAAATAATGTAGTAAGTGCATGGGAATAACATCATTTCAAAAATAATAGTATGTCATTTGTTATTACAACAATAGTAATATACAATTTATAAGGTAACTATGAAGAAATTTTTGCAGCTCAGCACATCACTTCTCGCAAAAGTTGTGAAACTGCACAAGGGTATTAAAAGTATCATGTGGATGTAAATGCCACAGTTGTCACATGTTGCCACTTTCACCACGTCTATTCAGTCATGGCAGCATTTCAGAATGTGTTCCTCCAGTGTCCAGATTTTATTGCATCCATGCGACAATGGATATTATAGCAATAATACTCATCTCGTATGGTTTGCTGGCCACTTCCTGGACAAATGCAATCTTAAGGTCTGGAAATGTGTGAGGCTTCCCACAGTACTTTTGTAACTTCAGGTACTCCTTAACCAGAAATTGACTGGTGTCTTGTCTGATGAATACTAGAACACAGCCAGGACAGATCACTTTGTAAAGGCCAGTTTTATATAAATAAGGCCTAAATCAGCAACCTTGTCTGATGAAGATGGTGACCATTCACAAGAAAAATGACATGAATGATTCTGTCTTGAAAATGCTCCCTCCAAATGTATTTCTCCTGGTTATCAATATGTTAAATGTAGATTAATTTCAGACCCGATAATGTAGTTGTGCTATTGACACTTCTGGAAAGGATTAAGTGTGTCTTGTCAGTCCTTAAGATATTAGCAGGCCATTGGTCATCAACTTCCAGTCTTGTCATAAACTACGGTGGAAAACCAACACTTCTTGTTAAATCTGTCTCCTTCAGTGCTTCAACATGATATAACTTGCAAGGAAACATTTACAAAATTAATTGAAGAGCCTTATAAACAGTTGAAATTAGAAAATCCAAACACTGGCTAATATAACATGCACTGCTGCACTCGTGCACTTTTACTTTTGTTATTCATCTATGGTATAGCTGATGTCAGTGATGGTTTCTGTATGTGTCAGTGGTCTGTCTGTGCATGGCTTATCACATGCACAACCTGTCTCTTCACATGAACTTGCACACAACAACACTGGAACAAGGCTCTTCTGGAAGTTACACACTTCCTAGATCTATTTTGGAATTGCATCTTTTCATTCATTCACCTCTCTACACACTTGTCAGGCCCATTTACACTCATGGGAAATATGTGAAAGAGAAACCAAAGCGGCACCCCTGATGGCAACATGTGACAACTGTGATATTTGCATGGTATCCTTAACTTTCACCTTCCTATGCCATACTGTTTGTTAGATATGGCATGCTTAACTGAAACTTTCTATGTAGTTGCCATGTAATATACTGAATTACAACAATTAAAACACTTATAACTTTTCCCAATACTGTTATATATTCATACAGACAAATCAAATTTGAAGAGAGGAGTTTAAAGCTTGGTTGATAAATTCTTATGTATATGTTGTTTACAAAAAATCATGTTGGACTCAGGTAACAGAGAAATGTTCAGAGAACAAAGGAAAAGAAATTATTTTATTACACAACTGTGAAAGAAGAGTTCATGAGTAGAGGAGGCTATAGGAAAGTCTTGTTCCAGAGCCTCTTGGACTCTAGTTATACCACTAATTATTATTACATTTTACATTGAAAACCTATTTAATATTTTATACTGCAAAGTAAAAACTGAAGAAGTTCATATAAGACAAAAAATTGAATCATTTAGTGTGAATGCACATATGAAATAAAACATGTTTAAGCCTGTCACAAATTCTGTTGGGAAATGTTTCACTGTATGGTTTCTTGAGATTATGATTATAATAGTTAAATTCTGCTCATTTTCATAACAGGCTCATAGTAAAGCCACCACATATTTTTCATCATTTTAATAATGTTATTTTCTCTGTAAAGTAAACACACTCAAGGTAAAAGTTTAAGTATTTGAATTAACAAGTGGATTATGTTTCATCAGACATTCATAAACATTTGTTAGAAATTACTATTTTAGACTGTAGAGCTTTTAATTATATGAGACATGGGTGTGTTGATTTGACTCACCTGTTTTATTGTAATGTGAAAAATACTAAATGAAATAGTTTGAAACTTCAGAATTACTTTCTGTATTATGTAGCTTGTGCAAGTAAAATATTTTTATATGTGATATTTCTATTAATTCACAGTTTCGAAATTTCAAATAGATTTCATTGTGATATATTTTCTTTTAGGAAACAGTTTAAAATGTGTACCTATGTTGCAGATTTTAATTATTGATCTTTATATACTCTGACATTCTTTTAAAACTTTCTGACAACATTTTTATTTTATAAAAGAGTGAAAATTATCTATGTTATGATTCGAAAAACAGCAGTCACAGTTTCATTGTGTTTATGAACAATGGCATGTAACAAAAATAACTACTTTTTTGTCATACCCATATTATAAGCAAACCAACTTTTTATTAATTTGTTAATCAAAAGGTTTTATTTAATATAGGTAATAAGTTTTAAACTTGTTTTATGCGCATTTATATATTTTTTAATTTATTTTTGAGGAATTTGTTTGCTCATTGAAGCAGTTACTTAGGCTGATATGACCTAATGCAGACAATACCTAAAACAGCTACCTTGTCAGCAAAACAAAACTTGATAGGATCAAGTACAAATTTACTTAATTAAGTCTACCTCATCTTGTTCAACAAGAAAACGTTTATTTTCATATAATATTTCAACATTATAATTCAATTTAAGTATGAAATGATAAAGCATGCTTTTCTATCTATATCTAAAGGAAATTAGGACTGTAAATCTAGTTGTTCACAAACACCTTTTTTTCTAGTAACATGTTACCAATCTTAGCTTTTATCACTTGGTTCTGTTCTCTATGCTAATCTCCATTGAACTGGAAGCCTTTTTTTGGCTTTTACAATTAAAAAGAAAGGAAAAAGAGCTTTCATAACATGCTTAGATCAGTAGCCTATGTCTTTTCAAAGTTGAATGTCAGGCTTTTATGTGTGGGCAGGATTCTTTACAGTAGATGTCTGTGACTTATTGGCAATAAGTTTCAACAATAAACAAGCAGCATACAGTCCACTTGTTTTAAAACAACATATTATCACAATTCTATCCAGAGCTTTAAATAATTCTCCACACAGGTTGGTTCAATTACTTTAGAACACAATATTACAAGACATTATTCTTCTCTCCTCTGTTATTACAATACAATCTGTGATAATTTCACTTTAAAAAGCACAACAATACACTTTTTATGGCTGAACTCGCAATCATGCAGTCTAAATCTAACAAACTATCTATCTAGATATAACTAACTCAAATGACATTGTGGACACATATTTATATATCGACAGAGGCCTAGAATGTTCCACACTATAAGATATTATGATACAATAATACTCAATTAAAATAATGAGAAAAACGTAGAAGGTTCTAGTAAAATGACACAATAATATAACAATTGCCAATTCACAACAATTGAACTACACAACGTATAATTCATAAACAGTTATGCAAACAAACCTGTGATAAACTGTTGCTTCTAAAAATAACTAAATTTAACACTTGTGTTATACTTAAATGAAACAGTCATGTGTATCTAACATCGAGACATAGGGAATTATATCACACAGTGATAACCAAGGCTTAGAAATAGTGATTAGCTAAAAATTGATAAAACTACACTTTTATTTCCAGTTACAAGGACTGGTTAAAATTGTTTTGTTCAAAAATATCATGAAGTTCTCTGTAGAGGACTGTGAGTGCCATATTATGCTCAGAAAAAATATTCAGGAAATTCACAGTCACTAACAATATCATTGGGAGTGTGCTGAAATCAACTCCAAACCAAAAATTTGCAAGTTGTTTTTATCTTTGTGTATAAATTTAAATAAATAAATTTTTTATAGAATAAATTTTACTCTGGAGTTATTGTTTTTTTCTGTTTTTTTCAATGTATAGAAAAACAACTACAATTTTAGCTTTTATAATTTATTCAGTGGTACAATTTTGACTTTGATGAGAATTGCACCTATCCAGATGTGAAAGAGTTAAGGGTCTGATCAGTAAAGATAAATATATATTAATTTATTTTTTGGTAAGTTGTATAGGTGAATAAATAAATGATTTATAATTGTAAAACTTGTGTAGGTTGCCAAGGAGTTTGAAAACAACAAAATGGAATTGTACTTTGACCTTTTTGTTGACTATCATTTTATAGCAACTTTTTTCTATAGATTTCGTGACCCTGTGGAAAAAGAGTATCACAACTTTTTAGAAGAAGCCTTAAGAAAAGCCGATTCATTTCTACAAGAATCAGAAAGTGGACATGATGAACTTTAATTTTTGTAAAAAGAAAAACTTGAAACTTTCACTATATCAAAAAACAAAATCCTGTTATAAAGTTTTCAAATATTTTACATTTGATCTTAGTACCAAGTGAATTTAAATAGTTATAGTGTTTGTCATCCATAGTGTACAGTCTTATGACATAAGATGATGCCACAACCTTAAAACAAGCAATTTGCATGGATGTGGTTAATGTAAAATGTCATAAGGAGGTGAACAGAAGTTACTCATTAGATTGAGTTCGTTAATGTGTTATTTGCTCATGTAATAATGATATTACAGGTGTCATAAACCTATTCTTTAGTAACTATTTTGACATTGGGTCATTTTAAAATTTTGATGGAAAATGTATCATTTATAAAAATATAATTTTGATACAAAGTTTTCATTGTGATTTTTTTAATGTTATGTCTTGATATTTACCATATTCCTTATGTTTTCATCAGTCACTTGATTAATTTTACTACAGAGTGGGAATATTAAAACTTTTGATATATTTAGACTACTGCTTAAACACTAGAGAAATATTATCTGGTTAATAACCGTGTATTTAATTCTAAAATATTACTCATAAGTTTTAATCATCTATTGAAGTTAAAACTAAATATGCCTCATGTAATGTTAATCAAACTATTTTACAGAAAAATTTAAATTTTTGTGTGTGAAATTTCTTTATGAAATTTTTAATAAAGACTTGTATAAAGAAAAAATAGTATTAAGTGTATTTTGATGTAAGTTAAAGTATTGCATATAGGAATTTTTTCCTTTCTAGATTATACATGACATAAAAGTTCTGTAAAATGTTAACACTTTAGATAGCAATTTATTTTTGCTTGAAAGTTAACACACCTGTACATACGTGTTTCTCAAGTATTAAGTTGAAACAATGGCATTGTGGTTTAAGTATGAAATGATAAAGCATCTATATAGGAAATTAGGACTGTAATTCTAGTGGAAGTTGTTCACAAACACCTTTTCTTCTAGTAACATATTTAAGCAGTTAGATACATTACTAACACATTACACTGAGCATGTTCACTTTTTTCTTTTACCAATCTCTATTTGTAAATAAGAATATCATCAGTGAGCCTTTAATGATGTGTAACAATGTAGCTTTAAGATATGTTTGCCATTTTATTTTTTCTTAATTTTTTAAATTAGTGTTACAATACATTTTTCCTGTAGCAGTTAAGCTATATTTTGTGTTTAATTGCACTTTTGTTTCTAGTATGCTTGTCAAGCTAACCTACAGAACCACCTTTTGTAATATTGTTGCAGCTGGCAAATTTCTAGGTAACAAAGATGTTTTTAAGGCTGGCTTTAAGGAAGTAAGATTAAATTTTACTTCTCAGTTTCTTCAACAGTAATATATATATATGAATAATAGCTAACAAATATCTTGCTTTTCTTCTGACAGTAACTATCACACTGACAGCCTCAAGGAAGTTTTATTTTTTGTTTGTTTTTGGTGTTGCCTACATGAGGTTTCTTCCAGTTCTTTATTGTTTAGTCTGGAACATGTTATAAGGTTTGGCATTGAAGCCCCAAATGAGTCCTTGAAAGATACAGTTAGAAAAGTTCTATTTGCCAGACCCACTGTCTTGAGAGGAGAGTGATAACTTATAGAATTATGTCTTCTCATAGAATAAATATGTTTCTTTGGAATCATTGTGTCTTGTATAAGATCTGAACAAACTGATATTAACTCTCATTTTTAACTGATGATGTCTGAATATTTTGGTATTCACATCACAGTCTAGGAACAAATTTGTATTTGATGCACATGAGTGTTGCATGATATTTAGTTTACTAAAGAACATACCAGCATGAAAGGTTCTTACATCCTTTTTAGAAAAAAAGCTTTATTTTGAGCACCTATTATAATTTGTGCTGTATGATTCTTTGTCTTGTGACTGGCTTATATCTGAAGTCTGGTCTTCTTTCACTACAAACTCCAACTTTTAATCCAGTTCCGTAATGTTGAAACTGTGGGTGTTATGAAGTAAATGTTGTTCTGATTTTTAAATTAGTATTTTAAAAGGTAAATATGGTGCATTAAAAGATGTTCTTTTTCATACTTGCTGTAATACATTAAATGCAAGAAGCTTGTAGTATTCAGGAACAGAAGTATCCAAGCTCATTTCTACACTTTTTAAGCTGATCACTTCTCCTGATTATTTTAGATTTATAACAGAGGTATAGGTTTTTTTGGGGGAATACATAGAAATCTGACATGGATTTTTGTTTTCACTTTATTTCTTGTGATGAAACATCAGCAGCCCATGTAAAAAACATTAAAAGGTGTTTGTTTATTAGGGTCATTACTCAAGCTAAGTAATATTGGAGGCCATGTGTTCTACATAATTGGACCTCACATTTTTGGGCTATAGATTTGTTTATTTTAAAGCCATAAGTGTCAACATACTGAAGTATTTAATTCTTTAGCAAGCTTTTCAATTCCCCCTATTTTCTGGCATCTTATGCTTACCTATGTAATGTTTAGGGTCTTCAAAAGAATGCATGAAACTGCAAGAAATGATTTTAAGACATTTTTCGTTATGTCTCAAATGAACAGTATTTTCCTCAGCTTGTACCTTCCCTTTAAAGAAGAAATATATCTATTTTTGTACAATAATCGAGAAAAACAAATGTCATCAGGTAACCATCATTTCAATACACATTGAATTACAAATTAATAAAAACATTTTTGTAATAAAGGGGTATGATTTTGTTTCAGAACAAAAATTGTCATTAATCTTGCTGTTCATTTGTTTGGTGGATTTGCTACTTTATATTCATACCTTCCAGCAAGAGATACGTGTAACAAGTCTTGTGCCATTTCTACTGGTAAATGAGTGAAAAAAATTCCAAGAGTAGTAAAAGGTATGTTGCAAAACTTTTTAAAAGTGATTTACCATCATTGCTGGATTCTGAACCAGAAGATTAACTACAAAGGTCCTATCAGACCAATGTTCTGGATCACTTGTACTACACAAAAACACTGCCTTTGTATGGAAATTAGGCCAATGGAGTACGAGTTCAAAAAGATGAGCCTTCCAGTCATACCATCTCTTCAATCATCACACATTTCAAATAGCTAGAGAATTAAATGGGTTTTTGTACTATTTCATACCTTTGTATACTATACAATTATACATGCCAGTCAAGTTGCTGGACACAATGTCTATTGATTACTTTGTGATTGAACTGTTGAAACAGTGTTGGGAACTGTCACCTTCATACACTAGGGAGGAGTAATGTGCACTGGACAGAGACTTGCAATGGCAACCACACTACAGGGCTATTGTCAAGATGCACTTTTGTTGTACCTAGCTTCATGGATTGTGATGTTTTAATATAACATTCAATTTACTGTACTTATTACACTAAGGTCAGTTCTTCCACAGTTTAATCACCACCCCAGCCACTTGCTCATACTGTAAGTCAAAATAGGGAGGGCACAACCTCCAGGCATTCCTGAATATCTTCACAATGCCACTAGAGAACATACCAGTACAAAACTAAAGAATGCTATAGTAACACCTGTGGGAAAATTCAATGGGAAACATTCGAGGTCATAACATACCTTGTAAGTTTTAAATGCACGTCAAATAGATTAAATACACTAAATGTACATGTGTGAAAATTTTAGTGAACTATTACCTTGTGGTATTTTAGGTTCACTAATTTCAGATAAGAGTAGCAACCACAAATTATAATAGGATTGGCTGAGGGTGTACTATAGAGCAAATACGAGTTTCTAACTGAGTTTTAAAGTAGGAAAGTGACTGGACACAATTTAAACAAAATGCAAGTCAATGAATGTGTTGGACAATTGAACTATGCCTTCTGGTTACAATGTGTGCCCTCAGCAGTAAGTCTGAGGGCTTATAATAATAGAAATCAGGTTTTTGATACCCACAGTGGGCAGAACATAGATAGCTTACTGTGTAGCTTTGTGATTGAAAACAAACAAACACAGAGTGTGAGCATCAAATTCTTTTATTTTCTCAATGTATCCTGTGATAGACTGTCTAAACTGAGAGAGCACATATGAATTTGTTACCCATGTCACTGTTGGATACCACAAAAGCAACATAAGAAGGATATGTACTCGGGGTATTACAAGATTCATCAATGGACAAAATCACTGCCAACATTTACACAGTATATTGCATAATTCAACTATGCATATCTACAACAATCTTTCCCACAAGAAAACACATATGATGTGATCCAGGACAATGTGTAACTAGAGCAACAGGAATTTAGCCAACATTTTTTAAACCAACTCTTTAGTGTTAAATTGATAGATGTGATACTTGGAAGTAAAGAAAAAATTTGAAAATTTAGGTGAAATAAGAATGTGTTCACCTGTCTAGATTATAACAGAAAGAAAAATTTCCAATTACACATTTTTCTAGCTATAAAGAAAACATGGTATTTTACAATTATTGTAGAATCTTAACTGTTACTTGATGAATAATAAACAAATATAATACTGTGTAATATTATAACTTGGAAGCACAAAGAAATAGCTAAAATGCTTTGAGCTAAAAATATTTCTGTGGTAAATGTTTCAGCTAAATGATCTTCACCAAGACCCAAAGAAAAGTGGGAGTGTGTGTTAATTTTTATTTCTTTTTTTCTAAGTGCTTGGGATATTCACAAGTAAAACTGATTTCCTCCAAGAGTAACAAAGTAGACCCCCAGTGGCATAGTGGTATGTCTGTGGGCTTACAATGCTAGAAATCGGGTTTCGATACCCGTGGTGGGCAAAGCACAGATAGCCCATTATGTAGCTTTGTGCTTAACTTTTAAAAACAAACAGCAACAAAGTAAGTCCTACAGAAATATCAGGAGATTTGATCATGATATATATCACAGAATAAATATGGGTTTGACAAAGAATGACACTGGACACAATAAAATAATATGTACTTAGCTAACAATCGAAGTTAAACATTGTGCGCAAAATGAAAAACAGTGCCTTTACTGGATAATTGACTCTCTAAACTCTCCTCAGAACTTATTAAGAGGCTTATTAAAAACTAATTAACTTTAATGATTAAACCTAAGGAGAATATGTTACTATTTAAAAAAAGAACTTAAACTTTGCTAATCAAACTAGGGATTGAATTTGAGAAAGAGCATATCATTTTATACAAAATTCTATATTGTCTCTTTGTATGTCACTTTAAGTCATTCTCATTAGCAAATAACGGAGATTATAGCTTTGAGATGATGTGATATTAGACACATTGTATGTCTGCATACCCCAATTTAACCAAAAGATCACGTGCTTATTTTTTTATTATATCGTATGTAAAGTTAGTTTAATATGTTGATATTATAGAGTTCCTTATTGGGTCAGCGATAAAGTTATGGACAGACAATGCTAAAGTATTTTTTGCACTAGGCCATATCTACTTGATGGAATGAATATCAAAACATTTTGCAATTTATAATATGGTTTTAGTTAATAAACTAACCTCAAAATTATACATTGTCTATGCATTTTGACATACTTAGTTCAACTTAATTGCCCTCCAGTGGCATAGCGGTATGTCTGCAGACTTACATCGCTAGAAATCGGGTTTCGATACCCATAATGGTCAGAGCACAAATAGCCCATTGTGTAGCTTTGTGCTTGATGACAAACAAACAATTTCAACTTAATTACTATATCATAAAG